TTTTTTCGCAATATTTTACTTTGTTAAACTTCTTTTCATTTCTCGTTAAAAGCCGTTAGCTGGTTTTTTTAACACCGTATCCAAAAAAAAACGATCTATGGAGAATTGAGAGAACACAGAGTCGCTTCGAATAAGTACGAATAATGGTGAAAATAAGATCTCACTACTTTTTGTATGAATTTCTTTTAATTTCTTAATTGAAACATCGTGAATAATGATCTTAATGATCGTACTCTATCATTTTGAATAACAAGTTTTATTTTTGATAAACTTATTTGGCAAAAGCATGTTTAAAATAAAAAATTTAATGAATTATGCATCTGTAATGCATCTAAATAAGTACCTTTTTAATTTTTTGTACTACTTTGATTTACATCCCTTCCGACAGTTCGTTTTGATGGCAAACAACAACAACAATATATACAATATATACGGCAAGTGCGCCGCCATACTTGTACTTGTACATATATACTATATGTACCATATACATATAAAAGTTACAGTTATGCAGACATAATAGCAATAGGTTTTTTTTATTAATTTATTAAAATTTGTATTAATATTTTTTTTTCTTTAGAAAATCCTACAGCAATTTCTAGAAAGGTGACCATGAAAAAGTGAGTAACTTGTTGATATTTTTATTCTAAATATATTTATTCTTTTCTATTTTAGTGGCAACATACAGGTCACTTTGAAGAATTGTTGCGGCACACCAGATAGTTCCAATTCCCAAAATCCTGCAGCAACTTCCTCTTTAAATAAGAAAAATATTTAAAATAAATGTGTTTTCATTTTAATGATAATTGTATTTAATATTTATGTTATATAAAGTATTGTAAAATTTCTTTTTAATAATAATGTAATTTTTGCATTGGACTTAAAGAAACCTAAATTTTTCTATTTTTATGATTTTTATGATTTGTTTACAATTGAGAATAATTCAAAGAGTCACTTTGTATTTGTTTACAATTAGGGATAACTGAAAAAGTTAGTCTGTATTTGTTGACAAAAGCCTGTTGTATTGAAAAAAACGATGGTAGACACGAAGGTGTTCAAATTTTTTCATTTTTAAGATGAGCCAAAGCAAGCGGACAAATTTGAAAATTAAACTAAATTTTTCCGAAGGTGTTCATGTGGGTGAGAATCCCGGTAAATTAATTTAGTTAATTGCAGAACGTCTAACTATTAACATCGTAATACGGATGAATAAATTCAATATTTAATATTTTCAATAATTATTCCCTTTACCTCGGAGCGCTCAAAATTGTATTTTGAAATTTTGTTACTTTCGTTGTTTAATTTGAAGAAATTTTCTGTCGAAGCTCACCAGACACGTTTAGAATCTTGTTGTGATGTTGCTCCATCATACCAATTGTCAATTTTGGTTTAATCAAGTTCAATATGGTTTTGAGCAGGACTATGTAAACATCATATTGATGCTTTCCTTATTGTCTTCTGCATATTCTGATGTTTTCTTTTTATGAAGCTTGCCTACACCATCCTGATTAATTGGCATTAATATTGTAGTTGCTTCACTTTATTGACCGCACTCGTGCTTTTCTGGATTAACGTCGTCGTTCTCTGCAGTAGCACTACCTTTTCTAGTCACCCTTCTTGCCATTTTTGACTTCCTCTTTTCTACATACATGCTATTGCGTGGGAAAATTTAGTTTAGATTATGCCGGTTATTGGACGCTTTAAGCCGAATAATAAGCTCCTTTCAGCCTGATTAAACTTGATTAAACATTATTAAACATTTCAAAAATTGGCAGCCAAAAACCGTATAAAACCTGACTAAACATCATTAAACTTGATTAAAGTTGATTAAACATTATTAAATATTTCATTTCCGCGGATTCAAAAAAAAGAAAAATAAATAAGTTTTAAATTCTTCACACTAGAGCGCCAAACTGTAACATGCTTGTATACTTGGATCTATTTCTTTTTTTCAAACCGTTTCCAACATGCAGAAGGAAACTTGGCGCATCCTGTCAAGCATGCAAACCTTACGCGCGGCGGAGAGGTATTCAATAAGCTTTCAGTTACATGAAGACTCGCAGGACGAGTTTGTTCGACTAGCACATTGTAAATAATAATAATTGGAGGGGGGAAAATGGCAGAGGCAGATGTGTGTGCACAATTTAGATGAAAATGAATGTTCTAAATTGCATATACCTATTGATTTAATGACATCTTTTGCAGAGAGATTTTGTATAAGCTAAAAAGAACGACTTTATTTTACTGTTTAATATAGAACTATTTCATAACAACTCTTAAGAAATATTCAAGAACTATTTCATGATAACAACCAATGAAGTGATTATAGTGGATAGAAATGGGTAATGTTGACGCAATGCATCTTAAGTTGGACATTCTTCGGCTAACAAATTTTCTCTCGCCTGCTGCCTCTTACATTTAGGACAAGGTCGGCGAGCATCTAAACTTTCAGCAGGGAAAACTGATCCGCACTGAGATGATGGAAATGTGTTCATTTTAAATCAATGAATACATACGAATTATTAGACTTGCCCTAAATGTAGTTTCTATATGGAAGGGAGAAAAAATGCGTGAGCTTTTGCAGGCTTCACAAATAAAACCTTTAATGGGTCTTGAGTTAACGCATACAACTAAAAATTTTTTAGTCTTTTTGAAAGGCGGAAGTCTTCTCAGACCCTTCTCGGAATTCGAACATTAGTGTAGACATGAACTTTAACAAATTTGTTCAATTTTCAATATCAACCTACGTACAAGAAATTCAATTCTTTCTGTCACATACACAGCAGCCGTTACAGCAGACTCCACAAAGACGGACAGACACGCTTAAATCGATTCGAAGTTTAGTGTTGGTCAAGAATATGCTTTTTGGGGAGGGGGGGGTCTCTGAACCTGCCACGAAACGGTGGGTGGGCGGGTAATGATCACAACAGCTGCTCAGGAAGGTAGGCAAGCCTTGATCGATTCAAAATTTATCGCTGACCAAAAATTTTGAATGCTTTACAGGATGCGCCAAGTTTCCTTCCCCACGTTGCAAACGGTTTGAAATAGATGCAGGTATACCAACAGGTTACATGTAGACGCTCTAGTATGAAGGATTTAAAACTTCTTTTTCTTTTTTATATATAGCTTTTAAAGATAGCTGTGTTGCTTTTTTTTATTGAGTTTGTTTGTTTTAAGTATTTTTGTTCACGATCAGAAAAATTCTTTAAAAAAAATATTATTAATTACATACGCATTCTAAGATTAAGTCACAGAATATGAAAAACACTCTTAGACGTAACTATATAAATAATATTTAACTCTTTTTTTTTTTTTTTGTTTTTTGTTCTTTTTTCTTTTTGTTTTCTGTATTGAAAAGGATACAAAAGTTGCAGGTTTTAATTCGCACTTACGCTCATTTTCGCCAAGTATTTTGCTAGTGTTTAAATATGAAGGTTGTAAATACCTTTACATAATAAGGACGTCCTTATATTGCCCATGAAATATACGAAAAAGACTTTCTCAGTGAAGTTATTGGAATTTGTAGGTTTTATCCACAACTTTTTCACGTTTCTTGTTTTTTAGTTGCAATATTCTTTAAATACACGTTTATTAATAGTATTTAAAAAGAAAAAAAAAAAATTATAAAAAAAAAATAAAAAATTCAAAATTAAAATAAATCTTACTCCATATTTTGCATCTTGTTTTTTTACGAATCTATTTTTTTTTTAACAATTAATTAATCGATTACAATTAAAAAAAAAATATATATATATATTGTAGTAAGTTTTATAAAATTAATTATAATTATTAAAATTTAAAACAGAAATTCATTTTTCATCACATTGAGACCCGGACGACTTCAAGCGTCTTCGAGTTTGCTAGCATTATCAAAAATTACAATAATAGTGAAGATTGTGGTGGAGTGTTTTGTCTCCAGTTCAGTCCTCATTTCACACACACACCTAAGAGCTGAAATGGGACGTCATCATAGCAAGTTGTCATTGTTCAGGCATCATTAAAACTCATAGCCTCATCGAATATATCAACCATGGCCTCCATGCGTTCTTGATGCTCAAAGCGGGCAAATCGGCGTTGACGCTTTGTTTGCAGTAGGCGTCGCGGCTTAATGCGCCCCAGTCTGTGCAAGCGTGCATCCTCTTCCTCGGTATCATACTCAGGGGCAGAAACGGAATCCTCTTCATCTGGCTCGCCAAAAAATTCTTTCAGATTGCGGTGTATCTTGAAAATTTTGGTTGGGGCCTGATCCCTGGCCTCCTTACGTATAACGCGCGATTTAGCGCTCACTCCACGCTCTGGTTGCACTTTTGACTTTTGGACGCCAGAAGTACTGTGGGCATTAGAGGCGGTTATTGAAACAACATTGAAAAGTTCAGCCAGTTCGGCATCAGTGCGCTGCTGTTCTTTGAGTTTTTTTTTGTACTTGGGTGCATAGTCAAGAATGTATAGAAGACTGTCGAGGCGTTCATCCTCGCCAGATATGTTTGGCAGGGCCGTCGAAACACCGCCCCCACCGGTGGGCGTTAACGAAGTGGGTGTAGAGGGTGGTGCAGGTGGAGCGCCACTATTTGCGCCGCTGCCACCATGGGAAACAGTATAACGGCGGCGGGCACGTCTGCGTTTAACCAATTTCCATGAGAATATAGATGATGGATCATTGGCCATATTCAGCTCGTATTCCACTTCTGTATGCGAGGGAGGTGTTGTGCATAATTCCACATCATATTCCTCATCGGATTTGGCCATTTCGATTGTCTACTCACCGCGGCGATATTGTCCAGGCCAAGACAGCACAAAACAAAATAGAAAAGATAATAAAAAAAAACACACACACACATACACTTTAAAAAATTTTTTCTTCGTTATAATTTATGCAATATTTGTTTAACAACGTAGTAATATTGATGTTGTTACACTTTTTATTTTCATAAAGCTTTTGAAACTAACCTGGAAGAAGTAGTACTCGGCTTCTGAATATTTCTGATCCCTCAATCGGTACTCAGACATGCCTGTATTTGTATTCGAGAAAATAAACAATATATATGTGTGTGTTTATGTGCTTGCCGTAAAAATGAATAGTAAAGGAAAAAAACAAGAAAACTGTATATGTTCACAAATTCGTAGGGGGACAAAAAGAACGAGTAAAAAATTTTCACAATTTCCTTTTTGTTTTGAAACGTTTTCGCTGTTTTTGTTTTTGCCACAAATACTTTTTTCCTTGCTTTCTTCTCTTTTATTTTGTTTTCATATCTTTTCTACTCCGTCATATTTATAAGAATTTGGCATTGCCAGCATTAAAAAAAAATACAAGTTTCACTTCTTTGTTAAACTTTTTTCAGAAAATTTTTTTGAGCGAAAAACGTATTTTTGTGCTCTTGCCAACTTCCTTCCTACGCATCTATTAAACATACAAGATAGTTATGCTCGATTCTAAGAAAAAATTGGATTTTTGAATATGTTATAGTTATTAGCCAGACTAAATTCTTAAAGCACTAGTTAGACTAACAGATTTGTTGGTCAAGAGTCTTTGCCTATTCGACTACTTAGACGGATATCTTTGTATTTAAAATAAGGGCAACGAGTTGCTGATTGTCAACGCGGGTTTTCAAGAGTAACCAAATAGTGTGATTCACGTCTTGCGAATTCATCCAGTTTATACGTTTGTGTCGTAGAAGTTGGCCACACTGTTTTCAATAGACATTCGCGGAAGAATATTTATTGAAGAATAATCTGGAAAAATCTTAAGAATCTTTTAATAATTAACAAAAGTAAAAATGAGTGCTTTTCCGGGTACCTTTGCTTTTGATGAATATGGTCGTCCTTTTATTATTTTACGGGAGCAAGAAAAACAAAAGCGCATAACCGGCACCGATGCAATTAAGGTACAAAGAATTTCTAGATTTCATTATATCTTGTTTTTCTGCAGGATTAATTTAAATCTCTCCGAAGTGACGAATGAAAATGACAGTGTTATTAGTTAAGAATACATTTGCCGACAATCGTATAAGTTTGAAAGATTCTAGACGTTTAGTTTGGAAAATTTTCCAGAAGTGAATATATAATATCTTTCTTTTCCTTTGGATATGTTTTTAAAGGATTGATTTTAATGAGTTTCTATGAGCTTTTTCTTTAACATTTTTATGCGAAAATTATACAAATGACGTCATTGATTTGTGTATATATGTTTGAATATATGCGGTGTTTATAATTTGAGGTTAGGTGAAGATTTTTAGCCAACATCTGTTTACAAAAAGAAGCAAAAGAGTTCCTAAACAGTTTTTATATCTTTATCTCTCATAGAGCCATATTCTCGCTGCCCGTCAAATTGCCTCTACTTTGAAAACATCTCTGGGCCCCAAAGGCTTAGATAAAATTATGGTCAGTGGTGATGGCGATGTTACAGTTACTAATGACGGTGCCACCATTATGAAAATGATGGAAGTAGATCACGAAATTGGTAAATTAATGGTACAACTATCACAATCACAAGATGATGAGATCGGAGATGGAACTACGGGCGTGGTGGTGTTAGCCGGTGCTTTATTGGAACAAGCTGAGGGTCTAATTGATCGAGGCATTCATCCCATACGTATTGCAGATGGTTTCGAGTTAGCTGCTCAGTGCGCTGTCAAGCAGTTGGAAGCTATTGCTGTGCCCTTCCCAATTGATCCACAAAACAAAGAGCCTTTGATACAGATAGCCATGACTACATTGGGTAGTAAGATTGTCAATAAATGTCATCGCCAAATGGCGGAGATGGCTGTGGATGCTGTTCTTAATGTGGCGGATATTGAGAAGAAAGATGTCAACTTTGAATTGATTAAGATCGAGACTAAAGTTGGTGGCCGCATGGAAGATAGCGTCTTGGTGAAGGGCGTTGTCGTCGATAAAACTATGAGTCATGCTCAGATGCCGAAGACATTACGTGACGTTAAGTTAGCTATATTAACTTGCCCATTCGAACCACCCAAACCGAAGACTAAACATAAGTTGGATGTAACATCTGCTGAGGATTATCGCGCTTTGCGCGAATATGAGCAAGAGAAATTTGTGGAAATGGTTAAAATGGTTAAAGATGCTGGAGCTACTTTGGCCATTTGCCAGTGGGGCTTTGATGATGAAGCCAATCATTTATTATTGCAACATGAACTACCGGCTGTGCGCTGGGTGGGTGGACCGGAAATTGAATTGATTGCTATTGCCACGGGAGGTCGAATTGTGCCACGGTTTGAGGAATTGACAGCAGATAAATTGGGGTCGGCCGGCTTGGTTAGAGAAATTTGTAAGTATTGTTGATGAGTTATATTTAAGTTGGCATATTGCTAATTATATCATCGGTTTGCATAGCTTTTGGCACTTCAAAAGACAAAATGTTGATAATTGAAGAATGTCTCAACTCGAAAGCTGTTACTATATTATTACGAGGAGGAAATGCCATGATAACAGCTGAAGCCAAACGTTCCATTCATGATGCTCTCTGCGTCGTCCGCTCTTTGGTTAAAGTAAGTACCTGAAGCTCTAATTTTGCTATTATATCTTAAAATGTTTGCCGTTTTAGGATTCACGGATTGTTTATGGTGGTGGTGCTTCCGAAATTAGTTGCTCTTTAGCAGTAGCTAAGGAAGCTGACCAACTGTCTACCTTAGAACAGTATGCTTTCCGCTCTTTCGCTGTTGCTTTAGAAAGTATACCTTTAGCTTTGGCTGAGAATAGCGGTTTGCATCCTATTGAAACTCTATCGGAATTGAAGTCTCGCCAGGTAGCTGAGAATTGCCCCAATTTAGGTGTGGATTGTATGTTAACTGGCGATTCGGACATGAAGAAACATAATGTTGTGGAATCATTGCATTCCAAAAAGCAGCAAATTTTATTGGCAACTCAGCTAGTGAAAATGATACTCAAAATTGATGATGTGCGATCCAAGAATCGGAGCGATTAAATTTCAGTTGCGAAATATCAATTCTATTGTGTAACATTTTCCCCTCATTTATGTACTTTGTTAAAGTCGACATCATTAATGTTTCATTAATCTAGTTTGTTTTTTTTTTTTTTTTTTTTTTTTTTGAACTCCATTCAAATATCAAAACGCAACTACACGCATAATAAAAACGAATAAACATACGCCAATAAAAATAATGTTTACACTGCAACTACAAGTTTAGTCTATGAAATCACAACTAAGGAGTCTTGTCACTTGGACATTTATTTACAATAAATCTTCTTTGTCACTTTTTAGCGAAGGTCACCGGTTGTATCGTCTCTGGGGATACGGACTCCATATTATCTCACCGTTTGATCGAGTAAAATGCGTGTCTATCCCTATTCTTTTATCGCTAACTAGTGGTTTTGATTCCTATTACTTTATACACATATGTTGGAAACGCAATGCAATATTTGTTGTTTTTGCGAGGTAAGTCTTAAATAAGCAGAGATATGATAGGAAATCGCAGTTTTCGCTGCAGAAATTGGATACAGCTTTTCGAACATAGCTTCACGTTAGAAATCTGTTTTTTCCCCACAAGTTAAACGGATCCGAAGATCAAGATATTTACATAAGAAAATTCATTTCGCGAAATCTGAACGAACAATGAATCTAATCCTATCTTGACATCGTCAAGATTATTCTTTGTTAAGGCTGTAAAGTTATGGAATTCGCTCTGGCTCCATATCAAAATGATTGTTAACCCTAACAGATTTAAAGTAGCTATAAAGGCGTTTTGTAGTTTATAACTTATGATCACGTCTTAACCTTGGCTTTATGCCATACATTGTGTAATACTGTTATTTTATAGTATTTACGTCGCTGTTGTTGATGATTGTGCTAGAAGAGACTTTATAGTCTTACTGGCATATTAATTATTAATTGTAGTAATGATTATTATTGTATAATGAAATTATCAAAGACTTAAATTGCGATAGTAGTTAAGAAATATAGATATCTTTACAAACTTTGTCGCCTCCCTAAAAACGGATCAGTTCGAAGGATATGTTGTTAAAGGGGAGACTAATTTAGCATAGAAAACGATTATGGAAAGTTTGCGAAATTTTATCAAGTCCTTAACTCAATTGTATCACCGCTGCGATTATCTTCAAAAATCAACACGCTCAACTGAATTGTTAAGCAACAGTATTCGTTTACTGGTTGTTTCGCTCTTATGCTCGTTGTCATTGACGATCCTTATGCTCATTCGAATTTAGTAAATATATGCTGTGGATTTAAGACATAATTCGATTTAATCATAAAAAAATTCCATCTAATCATAAGCAAAACGCTATTTAATTTTAAGAAAATTCCATGTTTAATATTATAGGATATTTGTGCGTCCATACGTCCGTAAGTCTGCTCTTGTTGATAACCAACATCTTGAGGAATATCTCACCAAATGATGATGACAATTAGTCTATACTAGTGATGTGGCATTTGAATTGACTGTCTCCATTAAAGCGTTGCAATGAACGTAAACCTTTTAATATTCTATCACAAAGATAGCCAATAAATTGTATTAGACAAAGTGAGTTGTATTCATTAGTTCGTTCCTTTTGCCTAAACATATATTATTCATTCTTTTAAATCAAAATTTTTGTGTTAAATCCTTAAATGCATATTGATGCCAATTGTCTACATTCTAGTTTCACTTAATTTTATTCAAAATCCAAGATAATCATAAACAATAAATGATACGTGAAACACAAAACTTGACATTACTTTTGGCGGGTAAGTTGCTTTTTTTTTGACATTTGAATGTGGTGGTTGAGTTCAGCGTGTTACTTGGAAATATATTTCTGTCTTCGGATATGTCAAATTTTTGGAAAATACTGTATGGTGTTATACGTTTGTCACATACATAATGTTACGAAAATCCCGTGTTTGATAACTTGAGTTTTCATGAAAACTGGTTGATTTCCAAAGAAAGAAAAAGTTATATACATATTGGTAACGATCTATCTGCCTTATGCAAGAAATACAGATCTTTTCCCCCATTAGCCGCACTTGAAAACCCATTTTAATTTTTTTCGAATTTATAAATGAGGATACACTCACTGACATTGTCGAACAAACAAATTTTTGCATCACGCAAAAAAATGTGTCAAACTGTCCAGCAGTAAATACTCCTGAAATCCGTTAATTTCTACGAACGATTATATTTATGTCCGTGTACCATTACTCAAATGTTAGATCTTGCGGCGTAAATATGGTTTCGATCATATAAAAGAGATGATGACAGTTAATAGATGCGAGAAAATCAGATCTATAATTCATTTTAATGATATTGCACAGCACAAGTCTGTTGGGCAACCAAACCGTGATCGTCTTCATAAAGTAAGGCCTGTTAATGCACACTTAAATTAATTGTTTGTAAATGTGGCACCATTCAATCAAAGGGTCTTTCTAAATGGGCAAATGTATTCCACTAATGTGGCCCATGTCATGACACATATTAGGGAGTAATACTTAGCCAGCAAATGGCATAGGTGGAATTTGAAGTTGTTTATTTTGTGTTCACTCTCTGGACGTGGTTATAACAGTCGTTTTGGGTATAGGATCAGAAGCAAAACTCGCAAGTGGTAGATTAGATGGTTTTATTACATGTTTGATATGGCCTTGATCAATTCAAGGGTACACTGTATAAAAAACAACCTAAAGCTTACATTAGATGACTATAGATCAGAATTTGATCTCATAAAAAGTATGATGGGAATAAAAGAGCAAGACCCAGTAATCTAAAAGGGGAGATAGTACCTAAAAACAGCCGAGGTCCCACGAAGCTTGTCTCCCTAAAAGATACATGAACTGATGTTAGAAGCCATATGAAAACTTCCACGTTGCAAAGGACGATTTGTTTTTAAAATCTTTCCATCCTTGGTGACAACCTCTTCAAAGCAATATTGGAACGGAGCAAATACGAGAGGTAGTAGGAACGTTGAATACATCAGAATCAACTGCTGAAAAAATTAAGGAAAGCCATCGATTTAAAAAAAAAGAAAGTTACTGATAGATCGAGTTGAAGTATTGTCTGTCGAGGGAAAGTAAGCGGTGAAATAAAGAGACAATTAAAGAAGCCGGATCCAAACTAAGTAAAAGTATATTTAAAGATCGTACAGGTCAACACTATAAGTACACGAAAATTTGAATACTTAATATAAGCTAGAGTTAAGTAATTGTAGCATTGGTGCGAAGTGATCTGCTAAGTAAAATTCGGCAGTGAGTAGGTATTGGATACGATCGTAGAAACTCGATGTATTTTTTTATACCCTTACTACATGCGTTATATTATTTTTCTTGGTTGTTGTGATGAAATAAATTATAATAAACATTAGCATCAGGTTGAGAAGGTACCTTCACATAAACTCTTTATAGCCGCGGCTGTCCAGGCGGCGATCCATGTGTATTCATAACAAATGCAATAAGATGTGAGTAGTAATGAATGCAGTGATCGTTAAACGGCGAAGCTTATAGTTTAAAACCATATATCAAATATTTGTCAAAATTTTCAACATCGGCGAAAGAATTTAAGATTAACCAACTCATAAAAATTATATGCAGCTGTGGCCTTTTAAAAAATCCTACGAATCATTTATACAATCAATTAACTATTCGTGTGGTAATAATAATACTAATATTATATTTTACCCAAGCCACAGTAAAATTTTGCTAAAATACTTTGAAATGAAAATAAATACTTTGTAAAGGCCTGTGTTAGCGCATTAAGGAGCTTAGATGTAAACTGGAAGGATATTGGGTTATAATTTACAATCAGTCAATCTTTTCGGAGTAGTTCAGATGATCAAAGGACCTCTCAAGTGAATGTAAGAAGTTTTTTGTCTTTGTTTTCAATTTACGGTGATTTTTGTAAATTAAATGTTTGGCAGCTCTTGATAAATACAACTCTGATCGCTTTATTTTATGTATAAGCACTTACATGCATTAACGTTATATCATTGCCTATGTAAACGAGAAGAGGGTATCATGCGCTTTTTGTGAGTATTATATAATTATTTTTTTAAATATAACTTTAAGATAATAAAACGACTCAGTCTAGTCTACCCTTGACGATAATTTATACCTTTTGTTATAGCTGTTATTGCTTTTTGTGTCGACTTTTGAATTTGTATGGAGCGCTTTTGTTACCTTTCGTATCGCTGCTGAAAAGTTTACATAGAAACGTTTTTACTTAATTCGCTGCGGAAACTGCAGTGATGTTCTTTCTTAAGAAATACAAAGTAATTAATTTTGCTCTTTCTTTTTTCCGTTTTTGGTTACAATTTCACTTTTAATTTATGTTAAGTAGTCTAACTTACAAGTAATACTTAAATTACGAAAATTTCAATTTGTTGTCTCTTCACTTACTGGAATCACAATACACTGTCTCTAACCTTAAACTGAAAGCTAAAAATAGTGCTAGAAAAATTAAGTTTAACATGTTTCTTTATTGCAATCTACGAAATTACTAAATTCGGTCGAATTAGGCGGGCCTTCACTATACAAATACGTTACGGGCCATAGACGAGCAGCAGCAAAATCACTTAAACTTTGTAAATCATTTGGACGGCCCGGCTTTTGAAATTCCTCGGAAGTGGAAGCACTGGAATGACTATCGCTGATAGGCTTACGTTTATGCGTTGAGGGCTTGATCGTGTAACCGGAATGAGTTAATGTGCTGGTATGATTACCAGGATAATAGCGATCACTACATTTACGCCATTGATCCGGTTCATCGCCAACAAAGCACCTAAGTAACGACAACGATAATAAAAAATTGCCTGAGCTTTAATCGCCATACTTACCAAGGGTAGTCAAAGCCCTGAGAATAGCCGCAGGGATGATCGCTCTTGCAACAATAATCCCAAGAACCAATCTCACCGCCATCAATTTCACAAGAATAAAAGCTGGTTATTAGATTCTTTTCACAGGGACTACTACGACGACAGGCTTTGCCTGATACCGAATAATGGCGCCAAGATAAATCACCTGAAATCGTTTATACATGTAAAAAATTGGGAAAAAAAATCGATTCTCTAATGGCTTAAGCTTTCACATTCTTCATCTTCTTTGTCTTTACACAAATAAAAATACTGTAGTGGAATACGGTCCAGCATTAAATACCCAACACAACTTCGCTTAATGCAATTGCATTCATATAATGATTTTCAAAATATAGTCGAAGAAGTGGTTCGATCGACACTATTTTCAATACAGTCTACCCTCGGGGCCAAAACATGTCGGTGTATTAAATTTTAATAAAATATCTCAAAAATTTCGATCTGTAGGTTGAACACAGAATGGACAAACGGATTCATTCTCGTGTCACAAGTGGTGTAGGGTATAAGAGAATATGAAGTTTCGATACTTAATAAGATTGAAGAAGTTTGCCCTATTTTTTCCATTTTTATATAAATTCTGTAGGATCGCTTTTAGAATATACGTGAGACTTTTCATGGGCTTATCTGCTGTAGTTTATGGGTGAGAAGTATAAACGAATTTTTTTGTTTTTCTATGTTGTACCACAGGCCAGGAAAGATGGATACGCTTACATCGACTCAAAATCTCATACTGGCGAAGAATGTATACACTCTACTAATGGAAACTTCATTTTAGATGCTGCAAGCATTTTGGCAAAATGAATGTATGCCGTAACTTCCCGATGGTAGGTATAAATTAATCAGTATACAGACGTTGCATACCCGTCTCTTTAAAAATATCCATACGACGATTGTTGTTCACTCGTCCTCCAGCCCCGCCCACGGTGGTGACCTTGTCCCGACATGTATAATCAAAAGGATTCCAAGCAAATAGCCAAAAATCTCTATCGCCTGTAGACGCGTAATGTAAATTCAATTTAAGTTCCGTTTGATCCAGATCGGACATCTCACAATTTAATGTATTCTTGCGTGATCTTAAAAGATGTCAGAAGATGAAATATTTGTAATGTATTTTAACGACTCTTGCATTAATTCGTTTACCCATAACTGAACGAGTAGCATTTGAATGGTGTGGTGTCACGAAAACGTGTGCATTCTCGTTTACATTCTAATTCGCTAGGCACGGTTATGACCTTTTTAATAGCTGCGGTTAGCAGTTTAGCAGGTGATCCATAACCCAAATAGCACACCGCTAAAATGTGATAAATCCCTTTATTAAAATAAAAATCACGCTTTTTTAACATGACTTCTCACATTTTTTATTGTGTTTATTATCGACAATCGGTTGAATTTCACAACCATGACCATAACTGGCGCGTTCAAATATATCGAAGGCGGTATCTAATATAAGATGACGTTCCTTATCCATATCTCTTACTGGCCAATCGCTAAGTTGGCAATTGTCTATGATACCTGAATGCTTCTGATGACCGTAACGATAAGCGAAGGCACGACATGTGAATTTGATCGATTTTATGCATTCCATTTCACATTCCCCCACCGTTCTAACGGTCAGAGAATCTCGAACAATAGACTTGTAAAATCTTGTAGAGTCAATGGCACGGAAAAAACATTCTAAAGTGAAACAAGGCGTAGTGGCTAATCATTCTGCAGAAAAATTATTTCCTTTAGCAACTTACGAGCATTTCTGGGATCAGGTAAGGCTGTAGCTGAAGTGCTACTTGTACCTCGACTATTATCACCCGGTGTCAATTGACGACATACTTGCACATCATCAGCCATAGAGTAGATGTCGTAATCACGATCCGGTTCTATGTCCACATAATAATCCAATCGATTAATGGGGCGATCGCATAAAAGACAATTGTCTCGACTTGCCGGTGAATATCGATAACTGTAAGTGTGACATACAAATGTATCTTGGCCGGAACAAAGGCGTTCACATTCGGTTAGCGTAGGTACCGAGTAAATGTGTTTTACAACTTTTTTGTGCAAACGAAAACCTTCCGATGTCTTTGCGGAACATTCTAAAAATAGTGAAGTTTAACATTTATTTTTCGATTTTTGAAAGCTGTTTTGCAAAAACTTTACCATCTGGCCCTGGTCTACGAGTCCACTGATGTTTATAGTCATGGCGATCATGATAATTATCATATTTACTGCTAGCATAGCTACCGTAACTTGAACCGGGATAACTTAATATGGAGTTTGTTTCATGCGACGTATCACTCCTTCTTGGCGGTAATCCAAGTTTAAAATAGTTAAAGTCTCCTAAGTATTTGTGACGATCTGCGCGTTGATGGTCGCCCAAACCCCAATACAAATTTTGCTTATTATCGCTGCCACCGTAGCTGCCGCCATAAGAGCCCCATTCATTACTGCTTCCTATCGAGTAAGGCACGAATTTATTTCCTCCCGTCTTTTTATAAGACAAACTTGTTGAATGGTCATAATCTAAATAGTTATGAAGACGAGGATGATAGGTATCTGGCCGATAGGGTGAATATTGCGATCCTGGTCTATATGGAGGTCTATAACTGCCGCTGGTAGAATATTTCGTATTATCGTAGCCACTGCTGCTCGGTATTGTCTCCCAACGATGATAGTTGTGTCCGGGACGATAACGATCATAACGATCGACGGGTTCGATAGGAATAGAACTCGGTCCACTACCACTACTGCCGTAACCGCTAGGAGAACTGTGATCATAATAATTCGAGCCATGTGAAGAGAACTCATAAGAACCAATACTGCTACTATGACGTTCATAAGAATGTACTGAGGAAGGCGGTGATGGTCCCGATGGACCAGACGTATGATAATGTTCTGGTGAAGTGCTGCTTATCGGTTTGCTGTAAAAACCGCTACCGCTACTTGGTCCTGACGAAGATATATAATATTCTTCCCTATGCGGCTTACTTCTCCAACCATCTCCTGGCCGATTATAATGCTGTGGTGTTTTGCATTCTTTACATAGACTATAACGACAACTGGGCGGCGCATTTCGATCTCGCTCATAATAATCATAATCAGGATGTCTTAACAGATTCGTATCACGACGATTTGGGCTTGAATATAAATCGATTTGAGACAAAGGTATTTCAATTAGCTCGCAATCGCCCTGACCTGATCCGGAAGGATCGAGACGATAATTGAAGCCTTCGCAGGTAAAGCGTTTTTCGCGCCCGCACTCGCGCATGCACTCTTCAACATTCCTGCATGCTATGGTCCGTCGTACCCAATGCGGTGCAATACGTTTACCCGCAAGCACACGTCGAAAACAAGCTGCAAACAAAAAATAAAAGTCAAATATTTATGTTTGAGTTTGAGGTGCAGACTTCTATAAAAATTTAAGACCAAATTCGAAGCTCTAAATAAAGTTTTGGGAAAGTTCTGAGAGAAATTAAAAGCAAATCAAAGCATTGTAGTGAGCCAAGGCCCACCATTAACTTCCATAAGCCACTTGGCCTAATACACTTAGTTGAAAAAGTAGTTCGCCTAATACACTTAGTCGAAAAGGGTTCGGTTTTCAGCTTTTCAATAGCGTTCGTGTTTGGGCCGAAGCACGTCGGTGAACCAAACTTCATCAAAATATTTCAACAATCGCCACCTGTAGGCTGAACACAAGATTGCAAGACGGACAGAAGAACATGAACGGATGCTGAGTCAAACGGTGAGTCTACCTCAAGTCCTTCTTGGCGCTGCACACATCCGCACAAGTTTAATATATCCTTATATCACAAGTGTTGATATATGATAGTGATATACTGACTATTTTTATGGTAAACCTGAGCGGATTTTTAAGATAATTTATTGAATTTTTGAACTTAGCTTGATAGAGTGACAAGAAACAGTTTAAGTTAGATGCCTTCCTATATATATATACATATATATATATATATAAGAACAAGGACATATATGAGGCTACGTCGATTCCGCGATTCACTTTGGTTACGTGTAACCGTAAGTCTTATTACGCGTATTTCTTTGTGCTGCGAACCATTAATAAATCTAATATATCCACAGTGGTAGGCATAATACACATACACATCCAATGATAAGATTTAAAAACATTAACTCGTTTCGTTCACATCGTTTATGAGGCACTTGACGTTTTGCTGTTAATTGTATGAAAATTAACTTTTGTTATGCTGCTGTCTTGCAATTGTTCAACTCTTCACTTTTTATTTATGGCGCTTGTAAATCGACAAGACATGTTTGTACTTGAAAATGATTTTCTTTTTAGGTTTCGCTTGTGAACCATAATAAATCTCTAACATAATATGTTTGATTGCGTTTTTTATGGTTGTTAAGTTTAAGGTCGTATCGTATTTTTATTGTGTTATATTTAAGTTACGTCACTGCAGTCGAAGGGCTTAAACTATCTTTAAATAACGTTAATTCATAGCTCTCTTGATATTTAATATTGTTTCCTGTTTTTTTTTTTTTTTCTTTTTGCCAAATGTTTCCTTTGATAATCAAGTATTTAAATAATGTAAACAGTTCCCGCTTTTTTGCATCATGGCAAAACATGTTCGTATGTCAATTTTTCAATAAATGTCAAATTAGTGTGCTGTCGCAAGTATTATATTCGCCTGACATGACTCCAAGTGGCTGCTTTTGTTTACCGCGACTAAGGAAACCGCTTTATGGTTACCTTTCGGAGGAACGGAATTAAACGGAGTTCACTGACATTTCGCGATTATATCGGAAAAACTTTTGCAGAAAAAGTTTTCCATACTGATAATAACTGATTTTGATTCATAATTGAAAGTTGCGCGTTTTTTAAATAAAAATTCCCTTTATTTTTTGAACATGTATGGTTTCATCCCATGTAAACGCGTCACATTTTTCGCCGAAATTTTAAAAATTGAAAATTTTTTTCATACAAAAACATTTTCTAAGCGGAGCTCCTGTAGTGAAAAGTTCCGAAAAATGGTCCGATCCAATTCATTTTCAATAAATTTCATTTGCAATTTCATTAACATAAATCGTAAGGTGCACCCTACAGGTTGGCAAACATCACCTAGGCCCAATCTGATTCCCATCGGGCTTATGCTTATTTATTTTTGATAAATTTTGTGAAAAGTTTTTTTAAGTTAGATTTTTCATCAGGTTTCCGATTTACGTTAATAGTTTGCGCCCATGAAAAATCCCCAAAATAGTGGAAAAGCTGGAGCAACGTCTCACAAATATTAAAAATTATTGAAAATTCTTTCGCGATATTAATAAATGATGATAGTATAGGAAACTCGACGCTAATATTTATCAGGTCCAATATATATGTAGGGTGTAAAGAGCAGAAATTATATCTATTGCTCTGAAATCATCGACTGAGAGATTTTATTAAAAATATAAAAATTTTTCATCTCTTGAGCTTTCTGCTTATTCGTTGCTCTAGGATAAAGAATGAAAGGTATGGAAACCCCACGGATTGAATATCAAGGGCAGAAAAAATTTATAAAAAAAGAAAAAAAAAGCCCATCAGATTTTTTTACGTAACTCGAATAAGAAAGAAAATTACATTCAAAGTAAGTCGTTATATGGGAAGTCGTCGAAAAAGGGCTCCTATCCAAAGCATTTTCAATACTGTTCGTTCTTGGATCTAAACATGCCTGCGCATTATATTTCATTAAAATATCTCAAAAATTGCAAAATAAGTAAGAAAATTATGTCCCGTCGTGACCGTACCCATCAGCCTTATCCTAAAAAAGGCAAAAAATGTAAAAGAACTAAATTTTTATGCTCAATAATATGGAGTGCGCCAGTTTGATTTTTCCATTTTTAAAGTAAAAGCTTTTGTCGCATAGGCGCCTGAGCGTTGCAGGTGTGTTCTTTGAAAAGTTTAGGCCGCTTTCAAATTTTTTCGCAAATTTATAAACGACATTTTCAGTCTTGCGAATAGGGAAATGTTTACCACAGATACTACACACTGTTGGTTGGGCGAGTGTTATGGGGATTTTTCTATGCAAAACTGGAAATTTCAACCGCGTATTTGTTATAATTTATAAGTAACCAAGCCAAAATACGCTCAAAGTGCAGATGTTTTCAGTTTCGGTTCTTATTGCGCTGTGGTCATGACCTCTGATTGGTTTGAGTGATTTTTGCATTTTTTTGCAAATTTGTACACGGTATCTTCATTTTTAGGAAAGGGAGAATACTATAAAACTCGGTAGACGGACAGATGGACAAATGGAGATACGAATAGGCAGACAACTTGTCCATTTTTCTATAGATAATATGGCATACGTAGAGAATTTGCGTTCAAACTAATATATGTTTATCTGCTGTAGTGTGTAAGTAATTGGCAAAAACACATTTTTTGTACCCTTTGGGTAGAAGAGGTTTTCCCAGTTTACAAGGTAGTGTAGATGCATCCTTCAGTTGACTTAAGCAGGTTAGCTTCATTTTCACGGCGAGTAGAAAGTTTATATTAGACGGACAGAAGGACGTGCTTGAATCCATTGAGGCTATGATTCAGAAAATGATTGTGAATTGATCGGTGTAATAAAAGGTGGATCCTCAAATCCTTCTGAGTATTATATGCATCCACACAACCTTGATAGACCCTGGTACCATAAGTGATGTAAATTTTTAAACAAACTACGTAGTAAGGACAATAATGATCCCATTAATTGGTAGTGGATATCTTTGGCGTTTAGCGTGCACAGGTGTGGCTTGATGGCTTAAGCAGACGAAGCCTATTAACCTATTGGGTAATTTATGGATGATTGCGAGCACCCGGCAGCGTGTAACATAATCCCAAGGTGAGAGGACCTAATGGGTATGGTCCAAACTACCTCCCCTGGAGAAGGCGAACCTTCCAAGCACCTCTAATTATATAATGTCCCCGCAATTTGGGTAACCACGATCACCACGAGTACTCTCCCAAGGGTCGTATCCAGTGGCCGGGCCTTACACGCTAGTGCAACTGAAAGAATTGATAATCCCAAGTATTCTATGTCATCACTGCGGGTTCTTAAATCGCTGAATAATGTCATCGTCAACAGTTCACTGATTTATATAAGATATTTAAGCGTATGTATGAATAAAATAATGAAAATGGTTTTAATCATTAAACTTTCATCACTTCTTGAAAACTTGCACAGATGCAGTTCTTTTAATTGTTGCACGCGATCCGAGCAAGTAGTTAAGATTATCTTGAAGATGATTGTTGTTTTTCTATTTTCTCTTTGTTTTATGTTTTATGTTTTTCACTTTTGGTTTTTAAATTGAAAGATTTCTCTCTTACCTTTAGCATCCTCGACAATAATAATTGTGCTGCTAATGTCGTGTGCGGATGTCTTTTGATCTACTTTTTGACAATTATCTCCATCAAGTGAATGCAACCAATAGAAAATAATTATAAATTGTTCTGAAAGCAACCGCATTATAGCGTTAACTGTAAGCTACTAATTCCACAGATAGATGAATTTTAGAATTATAAAAAAAAAATAAATAAAAAAAAATGTATTGAAAAAATAATGTATAGACCGAATGAATAAAAATAAAATTCTCAAACCGCGTCAGACTTTAAAAGCGACTATCATTCGGGCAAATAGAATAACTAACTAACTAACTGACTGACACAAAATCATTGGTTACAGAGTTATTTCAGAGATTTAACAATAAATTCAAAAATATTTTGCGGGTGAGGAAGGAAGGCGTGTAAAAAGAAATATCGTTTAAATTGCATGAAATAAAAAGATTCAGAAATTGAATGAAAAACGTTCAAACATTATGCTATGCATTTTTTTTTTGTTTTTTTTTTTTTTGTTTTTCTTTTTTGGGTTGCGCGTTCATCAACCATTACCAATGTTCACAATTACGTAAGCACGCGCACTAATCTTATTGTCATCATACAATTTCGAACATGAATAAATGCGATTATTTTTGATTCTAATTTCTCATTTATTTATTTATTATTTTTGTTTTTTTTTTTGTTTAATAATTTTAATATAACAAAAAACAAAACAGTGAAAATATGCAAAAAAAAAAAAGATGGAAAACAAATCAATGTCAAATAAATCAAATTCACATTAAAATGTTCGTCGTCGTAAAACATGAATTTATAAATGAATTTAATTAAATATTGTAATTAAAATATTTTTTGCATAATTTTTGATATCTCGATAAAATTATTTTTTAGTAAAGCTTTTATTTATATATTACTATATTAATAAATCCAATGGTGGCTAAATTTTATCTTGAAATTTTTCATGAACGTTATTTCATTTAGTTATTTTCAAGATTTCAAATTTTATTCAACCGAATGATATCCTTTT